CGAACTAATGTGCCAGCGCATCATCCGCCTCCAGGATTCTCAATTGTAGCATTAACAATATAGTAGCTATACCACGGGCAATAGACAATTTGTTGGCTTGTACAGGTCACTCTCAAGTTGTGAAGATAGTAGCCGGTTGACATGATTAGGGTTAACCTTAGGGCGCGTATTTTGTCGTCGAATAAATAGGCAAAAGATTGGCTCGGTCTCAGAATGACGACCCGTTGTACACCCACACTCGCGCACTGTGACATCACTCCCTGCCACGAAGACAGATATGAGCACAACCGCCCAGTAGTAAAATGGTAGGTATATGAGCTAATTGACTTCGCGACTAAGGTGGGAAGACCTCAATATATATATGATCAGGACGTCCGTGTCCCTTCGTGCTTCTTCGACTTGTACAGTACATGAAATGACTCCTTGACACAGTTCACTTTCAACAAGTTCGTACTAAACCTCCGATACTAATATTAGGGATCCGCCCTCTGACGACCGATGTTCCCTGCGCGTCCAAGGTTGCGAAGACCTGCCCATAATGAGCATTAAGACCGACGCTCGCGGCCTTCTTGTCAGTAGTCAAGGTCATTGATTGGTCTTCTGCATGTCGAGGAGCGACTTATCATTGGAGAACGCCTGTCACCGTGAATGGAAGATTTAGCTTAGATGAAGGAATTAATGATCTTGATCCTTGCTCGGAAACATATATTTGAGAGCTTGAAGCATGTTATTATGCAATGGAGTCTGGATGTAGGGGGATGATAACTTTACCAGTTCTCTCCAACCCATCATCAACGTTGCTCGGCCCGAATGAGCAGTCAGACAGGCTATGTCTGACGATCTCGTCACCGCAAAACCTTGTTCGATCACTTGATCGTACTCGTCTTTCAAAACTTGTACCTTAGAGCTAGAAAGACCAATGTTGTAGCAGAAGAAGTTGAATTGCCAACTCTTGATTTTCAGATTGAGAGTTGTGAGAGAGGCACCAACAGCAGAACCAGTAGCGCTAAGCTGTGATAGACTTAGCGATACTATTAAGCCCCACGAGGGCCAATGTTCCCGTCACCCTAGCTTCTGTGCCGAACCACGGAAGAAATGCGGAGCTTTTGTCTCACCGACGCAGCATCAAAGAGAGACCTCAGGAACTGTGACACTTCTTAGCGGTGTGCAAGACCGCCACAAGACTGCATAGGTGCAATAGGACGCCGTAATTATGCGTGTGGCTTACTTGTGCCACCAACAGACGTCTGTACAATGCACCTCCGGCGGAGAGATGGTCTGCAAAGTCTCCTGGACATAAATGGACCCGGCAGTTGCAGAGCAAGCGCGGTACTTTTACCTACGCATCATGATTCACTAGACTAGCGCAATCCAGAACGCTGTATGCGCTAGCCAGAATTAGTGCTGTGCTTCTCCTCGCTACCAACTCGGTTTGAGTTTGTACCGTATCCTAGTTATGTTCTCATTACATCATACGATATTGAAGGGGCTACATGGTGTAACCAGGGCTTGGAATCAAGGGCTTGGAATAGTCTTCAAATTGTAATAATCACCTAGGGCGTCAAGGGGAGCCATGAAGGTCTTGTCCCCTTTCCAGCCAGCTGGGAGACCCAGGGTCTTTTATGTCTGAATAGCCTCGCGTATAGTTACCGACCGGAATCGCCGACCCGTCTCGTATCTAGGTCTCGGCTAGGTCATATGTTTGATCAGGCAAACGCGGGTAGAGGCCTTAACGCGGTCTCCCGCTCATATGATTATATACATGATATCGGATCCAGTCCATCGGGTCTGTGTGACACATGGACATTACGTTCAGTCTAGGTGCCCATTGACCCGGAAGATGGGGATGGAAAAAAAATTTACAGATAATGGCTTATATTCACATCGTCTTCAACAAATCCACCACGCGTAATAATACATCTGGTGATTTGACACAAAAGAGGATTCCCATCATTCGCCATCACCTTTGCCGCGTACTAGTCATCTGGCCGAATGAATCCATATATCTCTCACCGAGGCCCAATTCCCAAAGTCGATAACGTTCCATGCCTTTATGCATTGCCACAAATCCCATGGCGTGCTCATGCCATGCCTGAGCGTAAGGTTCTCTGCCGCAGAGGACAACTCCTATCCGACGGTGAGCATCCACATCCTCCTGAATCACTTCCCTAAACACGGTGTAAACGTCCTTCCCCTCATAAAACGCCCTGCTGTGAAGGTAGTTGTCTCTTTCTCCGTCCTTCTCTTCCTTGTAGAATCTATCAATCAAACGAGGTTAATATCAATGCTGAATAGAAATGTGCATATGCGGAACACTCACGACAGTATATCATTCGTGAATGATATATATTTGTTCATGTCAGGTATAGCTTCCATGTATGAAGAAACATCTGGATACAGAGCCTTCGGGAAAGTCATCCACACATATGCCTCCGAAACACCGTCCTTGTCCCGCAGGTAATATGGCCAGTTTTTGCCCCCTGTCGTGCGAGACATTCGAGGGAGCTCCGAGCCCTCGAGGGCGTTGGCATTTGTAAAATTGAGCGAGGAAGTGATAATAAAGTTTGCCACTATGGGCGAATAATATTCGTAGCTCAAACGCAAGTAGTCAGCCCATGCCTGGGTCAAAGGTGTGGCCTGCTCTAATCCGGTCTGGAACCGGATCATGAAATCTTGCCATAGCTTTGGATCTTTACAAGCTCCGTCGTCTACCAGAACTGCAAGCCAGGTGTATATGCCGGTATAAATGCGAACATCGAGCGGGTGACTAGGGTAACAGAGCTATTGGCATTTTAATAAAGAACTCGAAAGATTGATGTAATAGGTCCGGAGATCAAGGATAGGAGATTGAGCAAAATCAGGCGTTAACATACGTGCGCATAATAGATTCCAACTTTGAATGAATACCAAGAGTGTGACCCCTCTGGATACGGAATACCAATCTTGATGGCCTGCTCATGCATCCCTCGTAGCAAGCCGTCGAGATCATCACCTGGTTTGGCTCCAGTATAGTTCAGATCTGCGTCAAATTGAGCGATAAGTGGCCCCAGGACACGTCCAATATCTGCTTTGCTCCATGTCGTTGGTTCCGGTAGTTTGGGCTCGATGTCTGCGGGCAGCACCGGGAAGCGTGAGATGGTCATTTCGGAGATTGGGCGGGTTACAGCAGGAACTGTGATGGTACGGCATTGGTCTACTTCATCTGCTCACGGCATCTATTTATTATTATACTAAAGTAGCAACGTAGCTGCCTTCTCAACTGGACGTTATCTGCGAAGCCGGACTGCTGCCGAGCCGGTAGAACTTGGCCGTCGCCGCGCCGCTACTGCACTGACGATTACTCTGTCTTTTTCTTGTTGGTCTCGCCCACGATCTTCTGGAGACATATCGTGTCCAGAGTTCCCGAAGGGATTATGAGCCCTGCTATCTCATCAGTACCCGTCACTAGGTTCTTGGACAAGGATATGTCTCATGTTCTTAGTTCTAATCGATTCTGGCAGGTCCGGTGGCACGGACCCATGGAGCCGTAAAGCCGTACCATGAACATACGTTCCCACCAAGCCCTGGCCATTCTCTAGCCGAGTACAGTGTTAACCTCGCAAGATTGGTGATATACTTGACTAGATGATACCGTATTGAAGTACACTAGGCATGTTCCTAGTATACATAGCACTTAGCACGTCTCACGAGGGTTGCAGTAGATAGACGAACAACGTATCAAGATAAGACCAACCGGATTTTAAATAATATGTCTAGCCGGATACTCTATTCTATATTGTCCAGCGCAAAAAGGCGAGTGCCGCAGGTGTTCATGCTGCGCCTCGACGACGGCGATACAGGGAAGGTTTTGGTTACACTGCACTCGGTTAATACACGTTTAGGTATTTGATCCATGGAGTTGGATCGGCCAGGGTCTAAGAAAATACTACCCGGTGGTCTGTCGGTTAACTTAGTCCGACTGCTGGGTCGAATTTCTACAGTAATCCGCATCGTACTGTTACATTACAATTTCACTGTAAGCCAGCACCCCTGGTGCATGCAGTAGACAAGGGAACGGCCAATCTATTGTAGTATGCTGGTAATATGTCAATCATCCGATACAGGTATCTCCACAGCACGTGTGCACCTGGGAGGTAGGGAATTCCGTCGCATTAACAGTTTTACTAATGTATTAGATGTATAGCTGTTAGATAATATAGGTAAGGTTGCCTCAATAGTACCCGCTAGCATGTAAGCCATAGCACCTGGCTCGTAGTTTTCGCAATTGCAACGGTGAGAGATGGCACATTGGATACTTCATACCTTCTATGATGTTCACCAGCCCACGTTCACCCTGTAGAAACAGGATAGAATGGAAGTTTGCGATCGGGGATTCCTCTCATATATAATACACATGTACTATAGAGGTGTCAAGTAGTCCAGGGTTAGTGACTCTTGACATGGGTTGCCTGTGTCTTGGCAGCTCGCGCCAATCTTCGGGGGACCGGACACGCGGTTAAAGCCGTTACATTCGTTCATCCGATGCTAAACCAATAAACGTATGGTCATATCCGGTACCCGGGCGAGAGCCAATCGGTATTGTTTCCGTGGCGCCCCTGGCATTAGTGTAAGAACTGGAATAGGAAAGCTTTCTGCACCAAATTGATGAAACAACGTGGCTATGCCGATCAGAGCTGTCAAACTCTATTGATTCTCGGGGCTGTGGACGTTGATCTTGGTGCCAAGAAGTATGACTCCCGGGATGATGAGGCAATGGGGTGAGTAGCAACGAGCACAAAACTACTCTGTACATGGTAGTCATCCCCATTGCCGATTACCCGCTCTGTATATCTAGACTAGCAGTAGTGGGCTGCGCTCCTTATTTCTGTCGCTTTTAGTTTACCATGGCACGGCCGGCGACGACCGGCCTTCGCCTTAAGCACCCTTATGGGTCAAACACTTAGAATGCCAAGATTAGCAAAGTCTTTATAGGTTAAGATTCTTATATCCGAACGAAATGACTCCCGAACGGGGAATCGAACGGAACCCCGAACCCCGGGGTGAAACGCGATATGTTAGCCACTCCACCATTCGGGATGTATATTACCTAGACCGTGCTGAATTGAAGACGCATACACGGGCCGTAATTGCCCAAGACTCTATTGTTGCTCTGAATTCGCTACGTAGCTATAATGAGATTCGTAAACTATATATCCTATGTGACTTTCGTTTGCAATAGTGCCAGAAGAAAAGGAGCAGCATGAAAGGACATTAGTATATTCCAACAACTAACAACTAGGACAGAGCAAAACCTAGCAGACTAGAACTATCTGGGTTGGGGGTCTGAGTTATATACTAGCCCACTTCGAATGTAGGACTTAAATTCCTGAAAAGAGGTATAAACGGGACGGCTCGAAGATGGTGTTGAAGAAAGCGAGCCAAACCTAAGCTGGCGCACCTATATCTACCAATGTGACCGGCAGTGGTTTGCGATCCCATATGACAAACACATTTTGGTCTCTCCAGCTGGCATCAACTTCTGTCTGCATATCGAAATTGAATATGAGCTTTGATATTAGGAGTCGCATTTCATGCCAAGCCACTGAAGTCCTCCATGTCAGTAATCATCCCGCTGAGGACCTGACTTCGAAGGGAAGAAACCACTTACTATTCATGCCCAAGCAGTTCCTTGTCCCAACCCCAAACGGTTGGTGTGCCTCACGGATATCGTCCTTGTAGGTTGAGTCGCCGAGCCAGCGCTCAGGTACGAATTCGTCAGGATGTCTGAATAATGGTAAGTATCTATTACTTCTAATGCCATGGATTACGTATGCCATTTTGCATACAAGGATGAGAGGATATGGAATAAGCAGAACTTACTTGAAATTTGCCGGAGAGCGGTATGTAGCGGTCTGATGAACCGAGACCCGAGTTCCTGCTGGAAGCCATTTCCCCATGACGGCGTTACCTCCTTCGGCAATCTCGCGTGGGATTGCCGTGGGAATGGATGGATATACGCGCAAGCCTTCGCGAAGACCTACAAGATTAAACATCAGCCTGAAAACTAAAAGTAAAAGCGGGCTAGTAGGAGGCTGTTGAGGGGTGGATGGACGCCGTTCTTGTACAGTGCAAGTGTAGGAGTGGCGTCATAACATGGAGTGTGCAATCATTACATACACGCATTCAAGTACTCTAATTGACTAAGAGCCTCAAAAGTCATCTCTTCGTTAGACTTGAACCTTCCGCGGATCTCGTCCGTCAAAATTTTCATCTTGTCGGGATTTTTGAGCAGATAATACGTTGTACCGGTAAGCAAAGATGCTATTCCACACAGTTAGCCATGTTACATCGTCGGAAGTACCTTGCTTGTCCCCCCCCCCCCTATGATTCGGCAACTTACCAGTGGTTTCAGTGCCAGCTGTCATAAATAGTTCCGCGTTGGTGTAAATCTCTCCGGATGTGAGAACACCAGATTCCTCTACAAGGTTCCACAGGTCAGGCTTGGTTGACCCATCTTTCAGACGTTTGTCGACGCGAGTAACTGTGTGGTCGAAGTGATCAAGACGCATCTTTGCGATCGATTTGGGCTCGAAGAGATTGAACAGCGTTCTAGTGAGCCAATAGAACTGAATCACTTGGACTGCGGGTAGAACCTGGCGGCAACTGTTAGCCATCGCTATACAACGTACACGAACTATTTATACCTACAATCAGCGTGTTGAAAACAGTCGCAACCCAGTCGGAATACGCATCCTTCTCGAGTAAGCCAAGCGACTCTCCAAAAGCAAATTCCGCCATTATGTCGAACGTAGTGAAGTTGAGTAACTCGGCCATATTGACGGTGCCCTTTTCACGGCCCCTTGCAACCATTAGGTTTGCATACTTCTGAAACAGAGGCTCTTGTTGTTTTAGAGCCTTCTCGGAGAACGCTTGTGAGAAAACACGTCTAACCGTAGCATGGCGTACTGGACTTGGTTCAGTAATTAGATTCGGAGTACCATTGGCAGACACCGGATGAAATCGAATCTCTTTCCCATTTTCCTTTTTGCCCTTAGGAATAAGGCAAATATCTTTCCAGGCCTGAGCTTCAGTAAAGCTAAGATCATTCGGCGCGAACCTAACTGTCGCACCGTATTTCCTATGCTGCTCCGTCATCCATTTGACTTGCTTTCCTTGGATGCAGGCAATCCAGTATGGAATTCGGCTTAACTTTGATAAGGTACCGCCTGGATAGCCGCTGAGTGGGTGAAGGTAGATGGCGTAGATTGGGTACGACACAAAATAAAGAACTATCAAACCCAAGAGGATCTTGGCCGTTGCGATCCCGGGTGGCGCAGTTTCTTGAACACTGCCGAAGGAATCTTGTGCCGAAGCCATGGTAAGCGACCCGAACCACTTCGCCGCAATGTGACAAATCGTTAAGGATGTAAAGGAAAAGCTAGGGAACCTCTGCTCTCTTTACGCGAACATTCAGGCACCATGACCCTTTCTTGTCGCAGTCTTTAAAATATTAGTAAAACGATCAAAAAATTGGGCACGGGCTGCAAGAAACAAAAGGACCGCATCGAACGATGATCCATGTTGGTTCATTTGCTGCATGCGTCCTTATTCCCTGCCCCTGCACCGAACCCTACCCAACTTCCACTCCCTGCAGCATAAAAAGAACCTACATTCTAGAAATTGCCACAACCGGACCTATTGCCTAACCTGAATACCTTGCCATCCTCCTGGGAACCCCGCACAAAATCCATGTGGTATGTGTGCGCAGATGAGGTTCGACATCCTAACTTGCCATGCATTGAAGCATCCATGCCAACACTTCTCGAATTCCAAAGTGGTCAACCGACAGGGATGATGAGCCTCAGGGGGTGAGCGCCGCACCATACGCCCACAGCGTTGAATTTTCCCTCTGAACTCAATAAACAGCGAACTGTGCTCTTTTCACGGGTTCCATTCGTCTTCATCGTCTTCATCCGTCACTCGTTTTTCGTTCATGTTGCTCGTTGAAGGTTGCAGGCAAGCCTACGCAGTTGTTCATAGTCCTCCTTCACAATGTTCTGGACGCCGGAGCCTGGTACTCAGACTACATTGACAGTCTTGATCATCATCTTTGTGGTTCTCAACTATATCGGTGTAGGCTTACGATGCTTTGTGCGACTCGGCATCAACAATTCATTCAGTTATGATGACTGGGCCATGATAGCTAGTCTGGTAGGTTCCACACGATAACGAACAAGTTCATACATACCGGCGGCTACCTACCATACTAACCTCGCATAGGTTGGGTACAGTGGAATGTGCGGAACTCTACTATCTGCCCTGATTTATGGATTCGGTGCTACTATCCCGCAACCTTGGTACGACCCGATAAAAGCGGCGCAGGTTAGTGATTCAAGTAATAACTTCATAAAGCCTAAAGACTTTCAGCTGACGTGTATTTTTGGGACGCGCAAAGTCTATGTTTGCTTTCCAGCTCGTGTACGTGGTAGCCGCATATCTATGCAAGGTCAGCGTTGCCTTAGTCTTGCTTCGAATTTCGGGGACGGATAGGAAAAGCCTCATTCGAAAGGTTCTCCTTGCTTCTATCGCCGTCGTCACCATCTTCTCGATAGCAACATTCCTCGCTCTTGCCTTACAGTGTCGCCCTGTTACTCTCAACTGGGGTATTGGCAAAGGCGAGTGCGTTGCACCCCATGTTATTACTGACATCGCCTACGCTTTCTCCGCCGCTGATATCGCAAGCAACTGGCTTTACGCGGTAAGTTGAATCATCTTAGTGGCGCGCATCCGCATCCGCATTTCCGTTTGGCTTCTATATGGATTGGGGCTAATACTTCAACGGCTTAGACCCTACCAATTGTGATGCTCTGGCACGTCCAGCTTAGTCTTCGTGTTAAGCTCTCAGTGATACTTCTGCTGGGTTTCTCCTTCACGTAAGTCCTAACTAGAAATTTAATAACGGAAGGGTTTTGCTAAAAGAGAAAAATGAACAGAAGCAGTATAGCCACCCTCGTGCGCTTGAAGTACGTCGTCGACCTCGGCTCTCTAGGTTCGACTGATCCTGGGCTACCATTGCGATTATTGGATTCAATCATCTGGTAAGTTAACCCCCTGCTTTGTCTCCCTTTTGTCCTATAGCAATGCAAATAGCCGTACGAAGGCTGGTGTCACTGCAAATCCTATAATCTATGATTCCTGATTCTGACCTTCGAATATTAGGTCTCATCTCGAGATTGCGTTGGCCATCTTCGCTGCATCGCTCGCCGCCTTGAGACCCCTTCTCAAATTTGTTACTAGCCGAGGCGGTTCAACTGCCAAAAGCACTGGATGGTCAGATAGCCAGTCGCGCTCTATGGGCAGAATGGCTCCCGCAATTCGCCTCGATAACCTAAAGGATAACCAATACGACGACAACGGGAGTCAAGAATTTATTCTACACACCGGCCAGGACCAAGCAAGAGCGGGTCGTGACGACAAGAACGCTATCTACAAGACCACGAGGGTAGAGGTCAGACGGGATGCACTATGAGAAGACCCCCCAGATAACACTGCCGTGTGCATCTTCCGGAGAATCACCTGCTACAGAGGGTTTTTCCTGCAAGACTTGCCAATGCTACATATCGTCTGCTGTACCACAATTTTATACGTAATTAGAATCGAAGGAGCGTTCCACCATGTCATTCGTTTAGCTACAATAATCCAAGCTTTTGGGCGTGTGATATTCGCGCCCACGTCATTTGCTTCATGTTACAATTTGTAATAGTGAAGAAAGAGGAAAGAAATAGAAGCATACCAGTGACGAATATCAGTGCATAGTTTTGAATGCAAGGAGAGACTACTGTGGGAAAGTTGCAACAATAAATAGGTCTCTACTCGGAACCAATACGAGAGCTCTATAATATGTAGCGGTCATTATTCACCAGCTTATGGGTTTCTCTCTTCTGGTTCACAGGGACTATGACGACTATCTAAAGAAATCCTATTGTTACCGTTACATTCATTGTCGGAGAATGATTCAGGCAGGAACACTCAGTTTCCTAACATGTCTGGATCTTCATTGTGGAAAGCGGATATTGTATGAAAAACGCTTCTCTGAG